CAACATGGCTATACAGAATACTATGAACGCTTTGATCGGTGCAGAAGCGTAGATATATATATATATATATGTATATATATATATATATTGCTCGAAACGAGCACTGCAACGCATGTTACGCGCGCGCCAGCCGCGCACACCAACACATCGGGGCCTCGCAGCACTTGTATGCTGCTGTGGGCCCCTGGCAATGGGGTTTTTGGGGGAGGCTTTGGGGCTGCATGCACCCAAGGTGCTGTGCAGCGGTGAGGTTCTGAGGGGTGGGGTTGGGTGTTTATGGTGTGAATGGTGGTGGGGAAAGTATCCCCGTAGAGATGTAGTCGGATGCATTGGCGAGGATCAGGGTGTAGTAGTCTTCGAGAAAAAAAAAAAAATATTTTTTTTCAAAAGCTGTGAGGCCAACATGTGAAAATGTTTATATTTAAAAAAAAAAAAATATTCAATAAAGAAACGAATACACCCCGTGATGCTTTATATACTTTTCGTGGTGATGCTGCACATTTTGTCCGCGCCAAGGAGCGAGATAAAACAGAAGAGCGTAGCTCTTCTAAACAGACTTGAGATGGGATTTTTTCAATACAGATTTTACATTCACTCGAGTTGCTGGCTAATATATATATATATATATATATATATATATATATATATATATATATATATATATATATATATATATGTTTATATATATATATATATATATATATATATATATATATATATATATATATATATATATATATATATATGTTATTAATATATATATATATATATATATATATATATATATATATATATATATATATATATATATATATATATATAGGTGGAGAATTTTGTCTCTGCTTCATCGTAGCTGTTATATGGCAAATATTTATTACACATATTTATTAGGTATTAGTTTTTCAGTAGCTGACTCGGGCAGCTCCAGTGTCTAGTTATCTAGTAGCTGAGCTGAGCTGCATTTGCCTTCACAGCTTCTGTACGCAACGGGGTGTACGCTCGTGAATACCGCTTTCCTCGTGAAGTGCTACAGTTGCTAGTTGCATCTTTTTTATAAAGAAGAATACATTGCTTCTATCTTTTCTACTCACCGCATGAAGACTGTGGATTCCTCTGCAGAAAGCAAAGCAACAGGAGCTGGCGGTGGCTCGAGATACTGGAGCGCACCAGTGTGTGAGGGCGATGCAGGAG